GTTCTCCTGGTGCTGTGCCGCTCTCTTTAGCTCAGCCATCTCTTCCTCAGTGACAGTGCTCAGGGCCGAGTGACCATGATAGGCCCCACCTATAGCAGCAAAAGGCCAGGAGGCCTGGCTGGGTTCCCAGTAGCACAGGCACTGGAAAGGCTGCACACACCCCCTGATTCCCAGGGAAATGATTGCTTCTTGGTAACTGAGGGGACTGCAGAGGCAGGATGGTCTAGTGGTTAGGAGCGTGGCTCTGGAGTCAGATGGCCTGGTGGGATTCCTGACTCTGCCACCAACAGCTGTGTGCCTTTGACCAGGCGATAATTGCCCTGCGTCACTGCCCCCTCAGAGTTGTTGTAAGGAGTACACTGACGGACCTGAAAGACTGGTGACCAGACTTTCTGGGAAAGCGTTCCCCAAATTCCACCTGGCTCAGAGATGCGGATTTCACAGACTTCAGCATCTGCCAGAAGGCCAGCACCATGCTAGATATTTTTAAAAGTTATTTCTTTCAGCAAACTCGAGTTCCATTCTTCAGATAAAGAGCCAAGATGGACTGAAATTACATGATCTTCTCAGTGACTCCCACCCACAGAGAGGCACAGCGGGGCTGAATGCCCACCTCCCTCTGATGGGCAAGCCCAGCTCCTTCCCCTTTCAGGGACCCCTCAGAGCAGGGCCTCCTCACCACCACTGAGTAAACCTGCCTAACTGGCGGTGAACAAAACTCACACCTGAATCATGTCCGCCACGACACCCACGTTTGAAAGGAAACCTTCCTCTCCCCCCTTGGAGGAAGTGAGCTCAGTTTTGGGAGAGGCTGGGGTGTGTATCCAGCACTATTCTCAGTAAAGCTACAGTGGTGGCCATGGTAGGAGTGATTTTAAATGTTTCACATACAAAAAAAAAAATCTGCTTTAAGAATTGAGAACCAGGAAAAATCGTTCTTCCATGTGAATGTCTGTGCTTCCTTCTCCTGGGGACTGTGGGTAGCTTACCGTGGACTCCTTTGTACTGGAAGCCAGTGTCATCCCTGTAAGCATGTTAGTCTCCTGTGAGATCCTTTCACAACCTTTTAAAATGATGATTTTTATTTCCATTATAACAAGTTATCAGTTGCATGAATCTTAATCAAAGGTGCCTCTAATTCTCTAAATTAGGTCCGACACAGAAAGAAAGAAAAACTTTTCTTAGTACTAGCAGTCTGGAGACAGAATTACATATGTTTATTTGTATCGAGTTTTTTCTGTTATTCCTTTCAATTCAAAAACAGAGTATTAATAGGAAGTGTTAGATAAACAGAATCATGAACCCATAACAGGAATATATTCATTTTAATATATTCTCCTCCATCATTATCCACTTGCATGAATATTTACTTAAATAATTGCCAGCAAATTTAAAACACCTAATTAGGATCTACTTGATACCATTTAATTGTAAATGTTACATTTAAAATTTTCACATGGGTCTCATGCTCAATCCCAGCACTTTGGGAGGCCGAGGTGGGAGGATCACAGGTCAGGAGTTCGAGATCAGCCTGACCAACATGGTGAAACTCCATCTCTGCTAAAAATACAAAAATTAGCTGGGCATGGTGGCACGCACCTGTGATCCCAGCTACTCAGGAGGATAAGGCAGGAGAATCACTTGAACCTGGGAGATGGAAGTTGCAGTGAGCCAACATCGCACCACTGCACTCCAGCCTGGGAGACAGAGTGAGACTCCATCTCAAAAAAAAAAAAACAAAAATTTCACATGGGTTCCCAATCATGATTTTTAAGTTGCCTCATATTTCACAAAGTTTGACTTATCACATTTACAAATTAATTGATTTGCCCCGAAGTCACTGTATAGCTTACAGTGCTCAACCCCGTCCCTGGCTTATATCCTTAAGGTTCCCATGAATAAAAGCCTGCCTCTGGAAGAGTTAGGGTCCCAAGTCTATCATTTTGCTTCTCTGTATAAATGAAACCATAAATTTGTCCCAAAGCTCCTTTGTAGTGGAAGCATAATTTGTTACCCTTTTGCACTTTCTGGCTCTGGGGCTGACTGCTGGGTTCAAACCCCGTGCCACTCCCCAGGGGTGTCACTGTGGGCAAGTCACCTAACCTCTGTATGTGTCAGCTCCCACCTGTGTGATCTAAAACTGGTGACTGAGATTGGTTGTAATCAGGTGTGGTAAGGCATGCAGACACAGCAATGATTGTCATGGAGGAAGAGGTTTATACTCATGGATCCCTATAAACAAGAGGCCTGGCTTCCCATGCAGGGCCACATGGAGAGCACCAAGGGCAGTCAGCAGGCAGAAGGAATGGGGGAAGCATAGACCTGAGACTTTATTGTGTTTTCTGTAAGAAAGGCAGGGCAGAACAGGGTAAGCCTTTTAGAACGGGCTTAAATGGTTCTGGCTGGCTCTGAGGCATAGGGGCTGTCCCTAGTCTAGTATCTGGCCCTGGGTTGATTTAGGTAGGAGGGATATTAACTTGCTGTGTGAGATTTTGGTAAAGGAGATGGTTGGAGGTGTGGGCTCTAGCTTGGTTCCTCTGCATAAAAGGCACTCTCCTGCTAGGCACGACGGCTTACGCCTGTAATCCCAGCACTTTTGGAGGCTGAGGTGGGTGGATTATCTGAGGTCAGGAGTTGAAGACCAGCCAGGCCAACATAATGAAACCCTGTCTTACTAAAAATACAAAAAATCACCTGGACATGGTAATGGGCGCCAGTAATCCAGGCTAGGAGGGATGCTGAGGCAGGAGAATCGCTTGAACCTGGGAAGCTGAGGTTGTAGTGAGCCAATATGGCACCATTGCACTCCAGCCTGGACAAGAGTGAAACTCTGTCTCAAAAACAAAAGGCTGTCTATCCTTTGCTATCAGCTAGCACTGGGAAGGGGAGTCTCTCCCCACTCAGCAAGATCACAAATGCCACAGCATCAAGAACACAGAAAATTTAAAATAGAGAATACAGTTGGCCCTGTGATGAATGGATGCCAGACGAATTCAGAATCTCAGAAAACGCAGAGCACCCTGCAAGGTGGCCAGTCATAGGACTCACCTCATCCAGCCTTTGCCAGGTGAAATAGATGAGCCCGGGTAAACTGTTTAGAGGGGCCTTGCCTGCAGGGGGCGCCATGGAAGCTTCGCTGTTTCTTCTCCCCTTGCTTCACCCCCTTCACTTCCCGCGCTGTGCAGTCCCTCCCTGTCCATCCTACTCTCGGGCTGCCCCTTCTCCTTACCCATCCCTCGCCTCAGGTTTCCCCAGCTGCCTGCTTTAATCTACACTCTCCTAGATGATGCCCAGCCATTCTCTCACCCGCTTCTTATCTTGTGCTTAGACTCCTACGGAGTTACCATTTCACCTCTCTCAATTTTTTTACATCTGTTAACCCTTGTGCCTTTAGATTTGTCTTCACCTATCGTTACAATGCTTCTTTCTCTGCCCCTTCTCTGGTAGCACCCCACCCCAGCACCCCCAACACACCCTCCCGTTCCTCTATTTCACCTTCATTCACTCATTGGGCAATTTGCTTCGGTTCCTTACATTTGCCTCTTTCTCATCTGTCCTCTTTACCATTTTATTCCTATTCTGTCTTCTCTCACAGTCCATTTACAGTGATATTTTCCTATGTGTATGGTTATTTTATGATATTTGTGTTTAAATGCTTTTGAAATATCCTTTATCTTATTGTTTCTTCTTCTCTTCCCTTGTCATATTTTAGAGTGTTTTATTTCTCAGTCCTCTACATGATTGCATTACCTCTGTTCCTCTAGAATAGCGTCTGTTCCAAGCTTTCTCTCTTCCTGTGTCCTTCCGCCGCCCCGGCTCTCTGCATTATTTGCTTTTAATGGAATAGAAATCTTTCCCTTGTATTTCTCTCACTCGTCTCTCTTCACACACCCCTCGTCCCGCCTTTCCCCACGCCCCCCTCTACGTGCTTCTTGCTCTTTGCTTTTCCTTTTTACTTCCTCACCGTTTCAATTTCTACTTTCCTCTGTCTTACTGCTGTGTCACAAATGGGACTGCTGCCAACCACTCCGGTGTGTCGGCCGGGAGGCGGCAGTTTTAAGAAGGGTTGGCCGCTCAGCCTCACAGGGGGACCCCCGTCTTATGCTGCAGTGAAGTACTACAGACTGGGTGGCTTACACACAACACGTTTATTTCTCACGATTTTGGAGGCGAGAAGTCCAAGATCCAGCAGGCAGCATGGTCAGGTTCTGGTGCAGGACTTCTCCCAGGCTGCAGCCGCCACCTTCTCCATGTCCCCACGTGACGTAAACAGAGCTAGAGCACTCTCGGGGTCTCTTTTATAAGGGCACTGGTCCCATCATGAGGACCCCACCCGTGACCCACTTTCCTCTCAAGGCCCCCCACCTCCCATCACACTGAGGGGTACAATCTCAGCATTGGAATTTTGGAGGACACAAACACTCAGGCCATGCCACAGTCTTTAGAAGAATTCCAGGATGACTTGTCAGGCTCCTGGGAGATCCGTAACTGTGGGAAAGCGTCACACACCAGGGAAGGCCACCGGCTGGGAGAGCCATCCCAGAAAAGGCCTGCTCCCTTCACACTGACCTCTGTGGAGAAGTCGGCTTGGCATGTGCTTTCTCTTCCACTGCAGAGTTAAATGCGAGAAGGTAGAAACCCAGAGGCCGTGCTGGCGCTGAGAGATGAGCCCCACTCACCAGATTCAAGGTCCCAACGTAGGCAGACACCGGGCAAGCAGTCTCCCATTCCGGGAGTTTGGAACTTAAATAGAGCCATAGAGACGCTCAGACCTGATCCAAGTGAGTGCATTCAGTGACATTTCCTAGAGGGTCCTGACACCTTCATCTGCACCTGGGGCTGCCCCAGGTTCTGTGCTGCCAGTCACAGTGCGCAGGTGCTGCTGAGCTCCTCTAAACCATGAACTAACAAGTGAGTTGAGGGAGGGATGCCGCCAGCTGTGTGGACCTGGCCCATGGGGGAGGCCGGGGTGGAGGTCAGCCCGGGAGTCTGCACACCTGCAGCTTGTTTCCGCCACGCAGATGGGCACAGGTGAAAACCTTTACAAGTGCTGCAGACGTTGGCCAGGCCTTTAAATTCAGAGCAACCCGGAGAGGAGAAAGGAGAGTGGGTGGGGGTTCCGGCGTGGAAGATGGAGGTCCGATTGCCTGACTTAGCTTTGAAGCGGATCTTCTCTTTCCTGGACGTATTCAGCTTGCTGCAGGTTTCCCAGGTGAACAAGGTAAAGGCCCTCCACCTCCCACTGCCCCCCACGCCCGCTGCCTCTCCCACCAGTTTGACTACACTGCAGAATAGCAGGAGGATACACGGAGGGTGTGGGGTTAGCACCCTTCACTCTGAGGGCCTCATGTTCTGTTAAACAAGAAGGACAAGCTGACATCCAGGAGCTGCGCTAACTAAACCGTCCTTGAAGCTCCCATTTCAAGCCCTAGGAAATCAGCACTTCTTTCTCTGAACTCATGGGAATACCACGTGCCTGTTTTAGCCGTGATAGGTCTCTGTTCCCGTTTCCTCATCTCTCCACACTGGGAGGGCTTTGCGAGCTGGAATCCCATCTGAGTAACTGTGCGGGTCGGGCTCCCAGAACACATAACAGCAGAGCATTGCCTCTGCTCTCTGATGGAACTGATTGCCTGCTTGTCTCTTCCTTTCTCTCCATAGGATTGGAATAGGGTTGCAGACAGCAATTACCTGTGGAGGTGAGTCATGGAAGGGAACGGGTAAGGAGGGAAGGGGAGAGGAGAGCGTCTGACTGTACCCATGCTGTGTACCGAGGCCCGTGTGTGGCTGTGTTGTGAGAGGCACACAGGAAAGTGAGTGTGTAGGGGGTTGTGATGTCACCAGGCCTCTGAGGAGGTGAACTGACTGAGCACAGCCTGATGGGATTGTGACTGTTTCCAGGGCACACTCTCTGCAGAGATGGGACTGCAGCAGCATCACCGATCGACACCTGGGCGCATTCACGTGGAAGCAATTGTTCCTGCACCAAAGAAGGAAGGAGCTTCGGTTGTCATTGGCACAGCCGGATAACTTTACCTACAAAATAACTAAGAACACTGGTATGGGGACAGGTGCCCTAGAGGAACATGAGCAACTTGTTTTCAGAAGTCCACTCTATTGGATTTTTGCTGTGTGAAGTTGTATGTTCTCATTTAGTGAAGGGAAAGGGAATTAGAATTGAATCAGACTGGGCTGCCATGATAGCCACATGACAGCTCCCTGCTTCCTCTCTTGTCCCCATTGTCTCTGCTGAATGAAGAAACTAGAGAGATCTTTTTTCACAACATAAAATCCGGTCCTGTTACCCCCTTTTCCTAAGGCTTCCCATCCCTCCCAGAATAAAAATCAGAAACAAATATTAATGTGAAACTCTTTAAAAAACAGGCGTGGCTGAGCACAGTGGCTCATGCCTGTAATCCCAGAACTTTGGGAGGCCAAGGTAGGCAGATTGCTTGAGCCTAGGAGTTCCAGACCAGCCTGGGCAACAAAGTGAGACCCCCATCTCTATACAAAATTAAAACAAATTAACCTGGGTGACAGAGCCGGGCCCTGTCTCTAAATAAATACATACATACAGAGGCTCTACAGCTGCAGCCTCAACTTCCTTGGCTCAAGAGATCCTCCTGCCTCAGCCTCCTGTGTAGCTGGGACTACAGGGGCGTACCACCACACCCAGCTAACTTTTTTTTGATGTGGAGTCTTGCTCTGTCCTCTAGGCTAGAGTGCAATGGCACGATCTTGGCTCATGGCCCACTCTGTCTCCCAAGTTCAAGCAATTATCCTGCCCCAGCCTCCTGAGTAGCTGGGACTACAGGTGTGTTCCACCATGTCTGGCTAATTTTTGTATTTTTAGTAGAGATGGGGTTTCACCATGTTGGCCAGGCTGATCTTGAACCCCTGACCTCAAGTGATCCACTTGTCTTGGCCTCCCAAAGTGCTGGTATTGCAGGCATAAGCCATCATGCCTGTTCATAACGTTTTAATTTTTTGTAGAGATTAGGTCTGAGTGTGTTACCCAGGCTGGTCTGGAACTCCTGAGCTCAAGCAATCCTCTTGCCTTGGCCTTCCAGGCATGAGCTACTGTGCCTGGCCTAATCCTGATAACACTTTTTAATTTTTTTTTTAATTTTAATTTTTATTTTTTTTTAAATAACAGAATCACAGTTCATCACCAGGCTGAAGTGAAGCGGCAGGATCTCGGCTCACTGCAAACTCCACCTCCTGGGCTCACAGGATTCTCTTGCCTCTGCCTCGAATAGCTGGGATTACAGGCGCCTTCCACAATGCCCGGCTAACTTTGTTTTTTAGTAGAGACAGGGTTTCACCTTGTTGGTCAGGCTGGTCTCCAACTCCCGACCTCAGGAGATCCATGTCACCTCTCCCTCCCAAAGTGCTGATATTACAGGTGTGAGCCTCCATGCCCAGCCTGATGGAGACTTTTTAATATGCATTTTATATCTATGGAAACTGAGGATAAAAAGGAAAAGCCAGTTGACCAACATCTCCCAAATGGGCAGTCTGCCATGGGAACCTGCGTTAGGTTGACTCTGGAGCCCAATGTCTATCTTTTCCATATTGCTACCCAAACCCTCCTAAGAGGGCACAGAAATATTTAAAATTGTCTTCATTGGATTTGGATCATCCTTTATCTGTTGGCCAAGTCTTCTGTGTTTCCTTCTAGCATATGAAGCAGGTTTGGCTTATCTCTCAGGAAATACCTTTACAATGGATGAACAGGAGAAGTCAATCATTTGTAGTGTATCTGCAAAGGGCGAGCTTTGTGCCTGGGATGTGCAAGAGGTGAGTCTGGCCAATATGTAGCAAAAGTGCTGCATCCTGGCCTCTGTCCTGTTCTATATATGATACGGAAGTGGAAGTGGTAACAAAAACAAAGTTTCAAATCCGGTTCTATCTGGTAATTTGCAACCTTTTCATTTGGACCATAGACACAGATAACTCACTTTTTAATTGTTTTTGAGATGAAGTCTCACTCTGTTGCCCAGGCTGGAGTGCAGTGGTGTGATCTCGGCTCACTGCAACCTGTACCTCCCTGGTTCAAGCGATTCTTGTACCTCAATGTCCTGAGTAGCTGGGATTACAGACACATGCCAACATGCCTGGCTAATTTTTGTATTTTTAGTAGAGACAGGTTTCACCATGTTGGCCAGGCTGTTCTCCAACTTTTGGCCTCAAGTGATCCACCAGCCTCAGCCTCCCAAAGTGCTGGAATTACAGGTATGAGCCAACTCACTCAGCTGACAATTCCTTTTTAACATGTGTCACTATCAATAAATTTGTACAATAACTTATTTTCTGCCAGTAACATGTAAATTTGTGAAGTAATTTTGGGTTTGTGCATCTTTATCACCTGTTCTATTGCCTCTTTGTAGATGATTGGCATTTGTTATATTGGCTTTTTCAGAATGTGGTCTCTATCTCAGATCACCTCCAAGGCGCACCAAGGATTTATCTCAAAAACTGAGTGTGTCTTTGTCTAGTGGTGTAAAGTGCAGTGAGGTTCTTAGGAGACCCACAAAGCTTTTGTTAAAGAGAATTACACTGGCAGAAACACTGCCAGCTTGGATGTAAAGGGGCCAAAAAAACACAAAGGGAAAAGGGGCCTTTTGGATTTCAAAACTTTTACAGGCAGGAAGCAGACTACCAAAACAATTTAGCTAAAAAATCGGGCCGCCATATACAGAAAGTGAAGGATGACTCAGAATCAAGAGCCCAGAGAGTGGAACCAAGTGTCATGAAAATTCTTTCTTGGGCCTTCAGTGCTAATCCGCAAACTGCTAGCATGTCCTCTGTGGGATTTCAGAATGTCTTGTAGCAGGGATTCCTGTGTTTCCATTTTTACCTTTTGTGAATGACAGTGACTATGTTATCCTATGCTTACCCCACACTTGTACTTTGGGGATGGTGAGGAACAGATAACGTGTATAGCTAGTTTGAAGATTTTCACATCAAGAGAAACTGAATCTAAAGAGTCTCATCTATACCTGGACCTAGAAACAATGAGATCCTTTATTTTGCAATGATACTATAATGGTATGAGACATTTGAGGGCATCGGGAGATGGTGAATGTACTTTCACATAGGGGGAAAGTGAATCATTGGAGGCTATGGAGCAGACTATGGCTGCCAGTCTCTGAGATGGCCCTAATGCCTTAGGACTGACCTCTGGGACCAATAGGATATAGTGGAAATTATGGAGTCTAATTTCTGAAGCTCTGTCACAGAAGACAATTCTTCACTCATGGATCATTAGCTCCTGGAAGTCCAGCCACAGTGTTATGAGAGCTCTCAGCAGCCCTCCAGAGAGATCTATGTGGTGAAGGACCGGGGACCGATGCCAGTTCCAACTGACACAGCTGGATGACGGAGCCATCTTGGAAGTGAAACTGGACTTTGCCCTCATGAGAGACCTGCAGCCGGACTCCCCAGTCAAGCTGCACCTGAATTTCTGATCAGAAGAAACTGTGAGATAGCAAAAGCCTGTTTTAAGCCACTAAATGTTGGGATGCTTGGCTTCATGACCATAGATGTGACTGCACAGGCAACTTGTTATACTGTGAGGAATCAAAATAGTGATGACATTTGATTGCAGGGGAGTTGTGAATAGAGCACATGAGGAGGGGACTCCGGGAGGGCTTAGAAGTGGTGCATTGGTATTCACTTGTAATAATTTAGCAAACTTCATGCTTTCTTCCTGTGTGATATACTTCACAATTTGATTAAAAGGCTAAAGAATCATCTAGAAAGACAAGCATTCTATCTTGTATATAATGTACAAGGTTGCTGAAGGAATAACAATTTTCATGATAGTTAATACGTTTTGGGTTCCTACTGTGTCCTAGTCAGAATTCTATGTTTCATGAGTTGTGAAAGGTAATGACAGCTTCTTTGGAAGGCATGATAGAAAGTGACTTGCTGAAGTTTGCCTTGTTAGTAAGAGGCAGAGGTGGTTTGAACCCAGGAAGCCTGATCATTCTTTGTTCCTCTTACATACCATGTTCTTGTGTCTGAGCATAGTGTTTAGTTCCTGTTGTCATGTTCACTCCTCCCAAATATTGAGGTGTGGAGAATTTTCATATCCTTTGCCCAGAAGCAAGAGGATCTGATCTGGAAGAGGCTTCCAAATAAACATGGGCAGGATGAAGGCACCGTGGGTGTAAGAGTTCCTGGAACACAGATCGTGTTACTCTCGTTGTCTAGGGTACCATGATCTGGTCAAGCCCAGTCCAGAAGTTCCAGTTCTCAAATCTGGTAACCCTCCCTCAGATGCATCTCGTCATCACTGCAGATAGGAGCAAAACAATCAAAGTGTGGAATTGTCAGGACGGGGATCCTCTAGCTGCTCTCCCCATGCCAAAAACCTGTTATTGCATGGAAGCCCATGTCACAAAGGATGGCCCATTCCTGATGGTAAGTGAGCCCTGAATTTAGAAGGGACCAAACAAAGCAAATGCCCACTGTCTTGACAGGCATCTGTGTCACATTACTATCCTTAGTGCCTTTTTTTTCTTTTGAGAAGGAGTCTTGCTCTGTCACCCAGGCTGGAGTGCAACCTCTGCCCGCTGGGTTCAAGCAATTCTTCTGCTTCAGCCTCCCGAAGATCTGGGACTACAGGCACATGCCACCATGACCGGCTAATTTTCTGTATTTTTAGTAGAGATGCAGTTTTACCATGCTGGCCAGGCTGGTCTCGAACTCCTGACCTTGTGATTCACCTGCCTCAGCCTCACAAAGTGTTGGGATTACAGGGGTGAGCCACCACACCTGTACTATTTCTCTTTTTGTAGTCATTCCTTCTACATACCCTGCAAGTCAATCACAATTTGCCTGTGAATGTTTTATACAAACCTCCATGCTGTCTTGGCCCTTGATCTGCCTCAAGTACGTTTCCCCAGCCATTCTTCTAAAAACAAAAAGCCGAGAACTTCCTGAATTACTTTATATGTGCCTCTTCTTTCAAGTGTGTTTTTTACCATCCATGAACTTGGTCAGGGACAGTTGAGGGGGAGAGATGGCTTTGGGGTGACACTGAGAAAAAGTATAGCGTTTATGTGCTAATGAATAAGTGTCCTTGAGAAGAATGCTTTGGGGCTTGGAAAGCTTTATTCCATGGGATTATCCCAACAATGTCTCACGCTAGACTGGTCAGGGTTTGGGTCTCCATTCTGTGACTGAAGAAACGGTGGCATGTCTTGCAGCTGACAGTGCTGCCTCCTGTGTACTTTAGGATTTCACATATCTTCCTGTTGACGTGGTGGGGATGCTTTGGTTTCAGGTTGGCGACGCTGCAGGTGACATCTACACATTTACACTGCCTGAGTTAAGGGATGTTTCTAAAGTTACTGCATTTCAATGTGCTATTGTACTTCTACGCTGCTCTCCTGACAAGAAATGGGTGTTTGCATGTGGGACATACAGTCGTGCCTTTCCACAGGTAGGTGCTGCTGTGTGTATTCCAACTTCAGATTGGGAATGTCAAGTTAGGAAGCGTGCAGAGAAACTCAGTGAGAGCTCAGTGAGGCCCGGGCGCACTGCTCCCTCCTCTCTAAGACCACATCACAAGAGGAATCCATTGTGATAGTCAGGAAGCAATGCTCTTTGAAACAACAGCATCCAGTTGCCATGGCCAATATCAATGAAATCTAGTTCATGAAGCCTGCATTTGCCAAACAGATAGAGGAGGGTGAGACAGGTATCAAGAAATAGCGATTACTGGGCACGGTGGCATGCACCTATAGTCCCACCTACTCGGAAGGCTGAGGTGGGAGGATCGCTTGAGCCCAGGAGTTCTAGTCTGTAGTGTGCGATGCTACAGGGTGTCCACACTAAGTCCGGCATCAGTATCTTACCTCCTGGGAGCAGGGGACCACCA